AGACACTAGCTTGCGAGGAATAGGAGGCTGTCTTTTCCAACAACAGGACCCCATTCCAGCTAAACCTAGAGTAATAACATATATTCACAGGAAACTCAGGCCCAGTGAGCGGAATATGCAGAACTATAGTTCACGGAAGTTGGAGCTATTAGGCCTCAAGTGGGCAGTGACAGAAAAACTTAAAGATTACCTCATTGGACAAAAAGTGATTGTATTCACAGATAATAACCCACTAACTCACCTGGAAAAGGCTAATTTAAGTGCAACAGAACACAGATGGCTTGCTGACCTAGCACTTTATGACCTCACAATAAAACACAAAGCAGGAAGGATGAATGAGATTGCTGACATGCTTTCTCGTAAGGAAGCTGAGGAGACAGGAGCTACACTTCCCAGGCCATTCACAGAGATTGGAATTGAAGTATCCTCTCCAAGCCATACTGATTTGGTCACTAAGGAAAATCAGTCCATACAGGTCTTGCCCAGCAGGCCTTTACTGGATTGGAAGAAACTACAAAGAGAGGACCCTATGTTAAAAACAGTGAGGCAATATATCAGTATGGATCTCTCCAGTGTGGTCAAGGATAAACTACCCAAGAATGTTAAACTAATGTTAAAACAAAGACATAAATTGGTGATCAAGGATGATGATTTAATGTATAGAGTCGTCACAGATCCAAAGACCAAGATGACAGTTCAGCAAGTGGTGATACCCTCCAGTTATACCACAGAAGTCATCAAGGCGGTACATGATAATGGACATCAGGGTATTGACAGAACTGCTTCTGTGATATGGCATCGATGCTATTGGACAGGCATGTTCAGGGACATCAAAAAGTATGTAAGTGAATGCCAGAGATGCTGTGTTGCCAAGATGCCTGAACCCAAAATACAAACTCCCATGAATACCATTGTGGCAACTCGTCCTTTGGAGATTGTGGCGATGGACTACACTTTGCTGGAACCAGGTGTTAGAGGACTTGAGAATGTGTTGGTCCTAACAGATGTATTTACAAAATATGCCATGGCAGTTCCCACTAACAACCAGCGTGCAGATACTGTGGCTCGGTGTCTGGTTAGGTACTTCAATACGCTGGGTGTGGCGGAACGTCTCCATTCTGATCAGGGGCGTAATTTCGAGAGCAAGGTTGTTGCCCAACTATGTAAACTGTATGGGGTGGAAAAGTCTCGCACTACTAGTTATTTTCCCCAGGGGAATGGCCAAACTGAACGATTTAATCGGACTCTACACAATCTACTGAAGTCCATACCAAGTGATCAGAAGCGTCAATGGCCTAATTTGATTCAAGACCTGGTTGCAGTCTATAACAGTACCCCACACGGAAGCACAGGATTCACCCCTCATTTCCTTATGTTTGGGAGGGAGGCAAGGCTTCCCATTGACTTTCTGCTGGATAGTAAGGAGAGAAATGAGCCAACAGGTGCTGTGGATTGGGTTGAGAACCACCAAAAAGGAATGGAAAAAGCACATGAAGTTGCTAAGAAGAATTTGGACACAGCAGCCAAACATAGAAAAGAGGCCCATGATAGAAAACTTCAACCAGATACTCTAGCTGTGGGAGATGTAGTTGTTCTGAGGAATAGAGTTTTAGGACGGAATAAAATTCAGGACTCATGGTCGCCTCAGAATTACAGAGTACTAGAGAAATATCCTAATAATGTATGTAAAGTAGTACCAGTAGAAGGAGGTACATACAGACATGTAAACCGAGTAAATGTCAGAAAGGTGGAAAGGAAATTTACACCAAATGAAACAATTCACAATACTGATGAATCGGGGGATGAAGATGATGACAATGATCTGATTAACGAGGATGACCCAACTAGCGATGAAGAGGTTATCCAAAATGAGGCTGGAGAACCCATATCTGATTCAGATTCGGATTATGAGTTATTGATCATTGAAGAGACTTTTGAATTTCCTAAATACAGTGAAACCACAACCATTGAAGAGACTAGTGAATATGAGAATAACAGTGACTCAGAAAAAAGTGCAGAAAATAGTGGATCTAAAGAGACTAAAGTTCCAGATACAGTAGAAGAAACCAATAGGACCCAAAAAGTAAGGAGGTCAAAGAGAGTGAACAAGGGCTATAATCGCAATCCACATAGACTACCAAGACTGTACTAGTATATCAGGTTCGCATAAAATACTCTATTGTCACTGGTAATAGTGGATTTGAGAATCATACCTTTTTCATAAGTTCCACATGGATTGTTTGGTTTCCTGGGATTGTCACTGGTGAATCTCTTCATATCACTCTGTATCATACAGTTGTTTCCTGTATATATGTTGATTGTTCACGTTTTATTCATGTATGTGTTAAAATAAGGGGGGGGGGGGGGTAGTTCATAAAACTCGCTTACAGTTCAATATCATCCAGTTGTATTTTTTACTCTGGCTACTCTGGTCTCATAAAACTAGTTTAGGAGTACATACCGGAATTAAATAGGTAAACTTAATGTAGACTCATGCCTAAGGGGTGGTGTACAATGGTGTAGTTAGCTTAATTTTACACTAGTCTCATACTGGAAAATGGGAACTATGATGAATGTGCACAGCATATTCCAGTTTTTGCTTTAACATTCACCATGGTTATGATAGATGAGTGGTAACATGGTTATCTAGGCAATGGTGTCTAAGGTAACTATCTCATTTAATGTTAAGGCTTACCATAGGGTACATCATACAGGAATATAATGTACTGGTAGCTACATACTGAAAAAAGCAATACCTTTAGAAACTTTATGCTACTAGTTTAACACTGGTGAAATTGCAATGATACTGCTATTCAAGAGGTTAAAAATATAATTCAGAGTATGTCTGATAATAAAAAGCAAGCATAATTTTTTGTTTTTGTATTTGGTCAAAAGTTCCAAAATCAACAAACTTTATATGCAAGTCATTGCATTTTTTAAATATTGTATTGCTAGCTAGTGTTCCCTGTACATAGGTGTTTGTATAGGTCATATTTTATACTTTTATCCGTAGAAGTAACTATAGGATTAGATTGAAATTCAAATGTCATGAAATCCAATAGTGTAGTCTAAAACTACAGCATTATTTTTTCTAGTCTCACTTATATACTAATCTAGCAGGTTAGGATACGATATGTTACATTTTAAGTACATTCCAAAGCAACAGGTCACCATTTAGGTTGCCATGAAAGTTTGCTTTATAGCATATTGTCTTACTTGGTGGAGCTGCCAGGATTTGTATAAAGTTAAGTTTATGTTAGCTCAGAGTTTACAATTTTGTTTAAGTAGACATTTCATGTAAAGGAGGGGTATGTGTGGCAAAGTGACATGCCACAGTGCTACGTAATAATGACAGGTCCCCAGTTAGTTCGCAAGAAGAACGCTGGTGGCGCTGCAATCGTATGAATAAAATGGCAAATGTTGAAAGGTGATGTATGTGACCCATTTTCTACATGTTTATTACACCCATTTGCCTCAATATATTGTAAGATTTATGACAAAGTATCTTATCAAGGCTAAGGTATTGTTTTATTACTGGAGGAAACTATATTTCTGTGCCAATTCATGTTCTAATGATCTCTTTCCGGTGCGGAGTCTGCATTTTCATTCGCACATGGCTTTTATTTTGGAAAAATGATAATATCTTTACATTACTAGCATAGGATGACATTTTGGTGTCTATTTCGGACATGCTATTATATCCACTATATATTTGTGTACTTTTTATGCCATTTTGCATGGGTTTATCTCAAGCTCATTTTTCCTGCATGTCCTTGGATATCTTGAATAAGTTCACATTACATAACACCTATCATTTTGTATCTATCTTCAAGTGTAATATACTATTTCAATGCAATCTGGGTGATTCAGGTCATACATTTTGATGTTTGTATGGATTTTATATGGATTAATGTAGAGTTTCCATACTGGTGAGAATATTTGTAATGATGTTTTAGGGATCTGTACTAGAGTTAAGGCTACATCCAGTATAGGGATCCATACTAGAGTAATACTCCATCCAGAGTTATGAGTGTTATGATGTTATGAGGGTCCATACTTGTGAACATAGCACATTTAGTCAGGGACTTACACCATTGGTATACTGATATTGTAAGTATAGGATAACACTTACTTGGTATGTACATGTAGATGGTCATTTATATACTCTTTCCATTCCATCGAATATCACATTTAGTAGATATTTTATAGGTCATTTTATTACGAAGTACAGTGTACAAGACTTATGTTTTTATTTCATCATTGTGTCAGTTTTAGTACAAATCAACTTACAACAGTGTATAAGCTAGGTTTGTTAACATTTGTTATCCATGCTAGGTGTACAGGTTAATGGATTTCCATTAAGGTATGGACATTTGTACATACTTACCATTATTCCATGTGTATTTTAGGGAGACAAGCAGTGCATGGTGTCATGGGTGTGAACAGGTGTCTATGATCGACTAGGTCGGATGACTGCATTTGTTTGAGTTTCCATGGGTAAATTATACATTCGTATATTTTCCTTTATACATGGCATTTTAGTAGATTTTATGGACATTTCGATAGGGTAATGTCATTTTTTTAAGAGTAGGATACGCCATAGTTGAGTGAAAGAGTATAGCTCAAAGCATGTCAAATAAGATCAAGTAGTAACTATTTGTACTTTTACTGGAATTTAGAATGTGAGGTTTCTATATAATATTTTGTTTCTGTATTTGCAGGATCAATCCTGTTGCCCTTTTTTGTCACACACACATGTCATAGTTGAAATAAACTACGTCAACCAAAACAATTACGTATATTATCTGTGTTTATATGCCCAACTATACCGCACTTGGCCACATTAAAGCTAGCTCAATTTCTAGGGTTCGGAATTTTGACGAGTGAGAAGTGTAGCTAAGAGGTTGTGGGTTTGAATAATGTGGGCTCTTTTTACTCATTAATTCATGATGTGCAATAGTTAGAACCTCAGATTTGAGTTTAATACAATGGAGATTTACCTGTACCAAGACAAACAATACTCAAGTCTACTGATTTCACCACATTCTCTACTTCAGATGCATTGTAACTTGGGCAGAGAGTACTTGAGCAACCAGTTGCAAGGATCCCCCATTCTGTCATGAAATTCAAGCCCTTCCATGGTGTTGTTGTGTACTTGGGGTCTATATCTGGACTGTAGTCACCAAACAGCTCTTTGGAATTATTGGCCATTGGACCAACCACCTGTTTGAAAAAATTTATGTTTTTAATAATAAAAGGCGTTAACATTTTACTTGGCTGTTTTTTAATAGCCTAAATGTCTAAAAATTAGGATTCTTATAATTATTTAAATCTTAAATTTTGGCAATGGGCAATACATTGAGAAAAAGTCTCAAAATAAGGCAATGGGCAATAATTTGCCTAAAAATCCAAAACTATGCAATGTACAGACAAATACTTACTGCAAGGCGGATTATTCTATTATCCATAGGAAGGAAATCATTTTGATTTTTCAGCAAGACAAAGCTCTGCATAGCTGCTTGGAGTGACAACATTCTATGCTCCGGGCTCTGAATTACAGACAAAGGTATGCTCCTCCAAGGATTATCATAGGGTGAATCAAACTCCCCTAGCCTCATTCTGGTATAAATCAATGGCTTGGCGAGTTCTCGTAGAGTCGTCTCTGTTGTTTTCTTCTGTTTTAATGCATCATTTAAATTAAGGTAGATGTTTTTAGAGGCTGGAAGTTCTAAATTGCATCCAGCATTCACTGCAGCACTTGCTGCGTCTACAGAGTTGTTGACATATTTATGTTGCGATATGAGAAATTCTATTGCACCTTCGTCACTGACCACATAGCCTTTAAACTTCCAGTCTTTTCGCAAGACATCTGTCAATAAGTGTTTGTTAGCACAGGAAGGAACTCCATTTACACTGTAAAAAATGGTATTAAAGTCATAAAAAAATATTCTAATTGGGTGAATTAGGCAGAGTAATATGTACATGCAAATTTTAAACAAAAAAATACAATATATTTCTGACCTATACACCAAGACTGACCTTTTGTAAGTGCATTTGACACTGACCTATAATAAAAGCACATGAACTATTGAACTACTGAACTATTGTAGAAGCATATGACTCTGACCTATTGTATTGGCACTAACTTACTGCATAAATGCATGGCACTGTGATCTACAGGGTGTCCCAGAACTCATGAGAATTTTTTGAGGGAGATATAAGGCATGGGTGATTTTTCTTCAAATTTGGTACACTTATTAAACACACTTTGGGGAATAACTGACATGAATTTCAGGCACATACTGTATCTTTTATATTTCCGAATTTATTGACATTTGAATTCTACATCGCCACAGACCCCGGAGTTATCGGGAAAATACAACAGTTTATGTCACATTTTGTCAATTTTATACAAATTCTCAACTATAAAACCAACGTTTTTTGTACAGCATTTTTCTCATATTGATGATGCACTTTGATAAAACGGTATATAAACTTTGATAGAGACCCAATACATCAACAGATTGTACATTTGGTTTGCTAAAAGATCATAATGACATGTTCCCGAGGGACTGAAAGAAATGTCCCCATTTGCTAGCCAATATGATCTTGCATATTGACAATGCACCAGTGAATAAGCCACTACATGCATGTCAGTAGTGCATCCAATTTACTTTCTATTGAGACTTCACAGTATATAGTAGCTCCATATACTTGCCAGATTTTGCTCTACTAGACTTTTGATTATTTGGGGACCTTAAACAAAGATAACGAGCCATGTCACTGAAATGGAGGAAGAATTGAGTCATGTTGTTTCAGAGGACCCTACAGAAATGGCTATTGGACGATTTGGGAATGTGTATAAAGAGAAGCTGAAAAGACGACATCAACTGCAGATTATATGCTATAATAACTCTGTAGAGATATGTTAGCTGAATGTGTATGATCCTATTAACTAATGTACTGAAACGCTGAAATAATTCAATGAAAACAATGCTATTAGAGTAAAGAAGTTGTATAAATATTATCAAAATGTGACGTAAATTGTTGTATACTGACTACTCCAGGGTTTGTGGCAATGTAGAATTCAAATGTCAATAAATTCGGAAATATAAAAGATTTGTGCCTGAAATTCATGTCAGTTATTCCTCAATGTTTGTTTATTAAGTGCACTTAATTCGAAGGAAAATCATTCATGCCTTATAGCTCCCTCAAAAAATTCTCATGAGTTCTGGGACACCCTGTATTGTATACTTGAACTGACATATTGTATTAGTTCATGACTTATTGTACAATTAAATAATACTGACCTATTATAGGAGCACATGACACTATATGTGCCTGCCAGCAGGCACTCCTTGAAGGCGGGGTAGTGTGTCATCTGTAGATCTCTCTCACTGACCTTTATATTTAAAAATATAAGGTATAGAATCAGACAAGGGAAACATGTAAGGGAAACAAAAATAGACATTACCTTGACACGTTCATTCAATTGATAGAGTTATATTCAAAATCATTAACCCGTATCTAAAGCCCCCCCTCACATATGAATAAATCCACTAGACGCATTCTTGCGAATAGAAATTGGGTAAAATGCGTTCCAATTAGTATATGTAAATTGTGCATCATTGGGAGGTTCGTATGAGTAAGTATCTCTTCAGCAAGCTTCGGACGACTTCGGAACCATGCACAAAGAGTGGTTTTGGTTCGCTTTTATCAAATTCGCAAGACTGCTTTGGGGGATTCGTTCTTATGTAAGGGGCTTTTAAGAATGTACTAAATGTACAAGAGTGCAATGCATTACTGATCCAAAGAGTTTTTCTGAACAAAATGTTCTATTTTGCTCAAAATAATAGATTGCAATGTAGCAGTGGATATATATACATGTAATTGTGATTAGATACAGCCATAGTACAAACAACTAAGATGATCTTACTGGTGCAATTTGGCTACAATTACCTTTGCATTGAACTTTAATCTCCTGGCAGAGTCATTTTTGGTGTTTTCTGGTCCAGCATAGGCAGCAAAGTGTTTACACCCTGCGCTTGCCCTTATAAAGCGATCCTTTTTGTCATCACCCTTGAAATAATATTATTATAAACAATCATGTCACTCATCACTTTTATAATAATACTTCTGGCCATTAACACAAGATGTCACCAATTCATAAATTATTACATGTGGTTGCAAAAGTGGAAAAAATTACCAATCACCAATGTCAAACTACAAATGCGAATTGCAAGTCATAAAAATGGTGACTACTTTTCTGGTCTTATCTTTCAAGTAAAAATGTATTTAAGTAAAATTCATAATTTTTAACTCACTTGTAGCCCCTTTACAAAGTTGGAAGCCCCAATACCTGTCAGGAATGGATCTTCACCATAGGATTCCTGTAACAACACGTGATATTTAATACTGAGTGCTTGAATTATCTGACCTGTGTTGCAAAAAGCCAAAACATACAAGCATTTAAGGTAGATGGGACCATCTTGAAAATATTCTGCAGCAATTTGGGAAATTCCTTCTTGAGCAGAGCCCTAGCACCAGCATATAAAATCTGAACCCAATCTGACAAATGGTGTTTGAGTTATTAAAATTTATATTTTTTTATGAAAAAGTTATGGATATTTTGAGTTGGGCAGCCAAACTGAAAATTATTTTTCAGAGTTTTTTAAGCAGAGGTCCTATTATCTAAGGCATCAGCATATTAACCATATTAGAATATGTCAACTGGTATTTGATTATAAAAGGTTACGTATTTCACAAAATATGGTGTCGATTTTGTATTGAGTGGCCAAATTGAAAATTGCTTCTACAGTAAGAGGACTTTGTTCAATGGGATAAAAAACATTTTGTTGAAGATAATTTGGTTAGTGAATACTTTGACAATTAAAGGAACACTTACCTGGTTTCTTCCCCATAGTGGATGTCTCATAATGTTGATCATGGGACTGAAACAGCTGAGTCCTGAGTGCCACCCATAGTAACCATATTTAGTGTAGTTGTTATTCTTGGCTCTCAACTCATAGGATGTTGCCATGCCAACTTGAGCAAAGATGTCAGCACTGAAAGGAAATTTTAACAAAATGAATAAGATTAGCAATGCTGTGTTCAAGGGAAATCAGCAACATTGTTAAAATAATATTTTGTGGATTTTTTTGTAACCCTCTAGATGTCATAGCATGTTATTTTAAGTATTAGGGTACAACATTATTAAGAGCAGATTTAAATATCTTTCTATGTTGTTGTTATCAAAAGCCTATAAGATGAAAACTTACTTGAACGTTGCACCAAGGTTGATAGCTTCAGGGAAAGCAGTTGCTTTACCCGCCTGTGCATCACCTCTTAGGCATTCATCATCAAACATATATGGTTTGATACCTAGTCTTGGAATGGCAGGAGTTGCAGGGTTAGGCATCAGGCTGCCACCATGTGAAATCATTGAGATGATCTCCTCCACTTTGAGTCGTTTTACAAGATCGTCTACTCTCACCTCCCATTTGAGAGTTGTGTTCCGAAATGGCAGGTCCTTTAAAGTCAACTTAGCAGATATGCTACTTAATATTGCAAAAAGATATATAAAAATACAAAGATTCATTTTGGTGATTGTTTTCTGCTGTGATCTTAACAAACTGCATTCGCTTAGATTTTCATGTATTATATTTATCCAAGCTTCATGTTTGCAAAGAAGCTGATCGCTTTTATTCTCTGGATAAATTTGACTGTTTGCAATTCATTTTTGTAAGTTTTGGAGCTGTATTACTATTCAGGCAATATCTCTTTTTGTCGTCATTGTATATTTACATGATCGATCAAACCTTTCAATCAACACACTTATCTCAATAGTAGAATATTTGGGAAAAGGTCTTCACAGCCAGTCATATCACAGAAACTAATGTATCTGCAGAAAACAGCCTTTTCCTGGAAAAACAGCAAATCTAAATCAACAGGTCTGCCATATTTAAAAACATCTAAATTGTTGAACTTCATCATCTAAAGGTGGAAGCTCCATCAGCAGTGGTAAAATGGAGGAAATCTTCGATAAACTACATGTATGCTCCAAAGCACTCTCCAAGAAGGTCAATGAATTTATGTTTATTATAATGCTGTTCATGAATAACAAGTAGACAAAAGTACAATCATAAAGAAAAGAAATACAAATAAGGCTTCATGGGTGGCGCAAGGCTGGATTATAGAGACGGCTCTGGAAGTCATGGGTTGCAACATTGGTTAATAATTTCAATAATACAGTCTACCAAGTTTGTTTTTTTTAAATTTTAAAATTACATGTATGCTTAATCCGAATCTTAAATAGGCAAGATCTAATCCAAGATGGCTGAACACATATTTAAATCATCACCCATGGTCTGAATAGCCCCATAGTCGAAACAGCCCCAGGACGAAGTTCAGGTATCCCCATACAGTACGTAGATGAAGACGGAAGACCCTTAGAGAGATCTGTGGTCTAAATGAGGAAATGGAAATATACAGCTTGGCTTAGCCTATTGCGTGCAGAGTCTAGTTAGAAACTATGAAGACGTAGCTCTATTTTAGAAGAGAAGCCGAACGAATGCAAAGGGTAGGCTAGGCTAGCCTAATTTAAATTTTTCGTCTGCAAAAAATTAAAATCTGGGGAATGTTTCATTTCATTTATTTTCCTCAATTGTATTGGGTTTACAACCCATGTCAACGACAAATATATCAACAAATGTACACGCTATCTGCTAAGTTCATTAATCAAACGACCTTTTGGTCTTTTTGGCTTTAAATGAGAAAAACTCGAAATATTTTAAATTTTTGCAAAACAAACCTGCCATCTTGATTTTATTTGACGCATGCGCAGTTTGCAGAAATTGCGAAAATGGCGGATGCCGATAAAATTGAACACCCCACTTCTGAAGGTAAATATATCTACTACAATGCATTATGCCAATCATATATATTACATTCTATACATAAATGTATATAGACGACGTGCGTATCCATATTTTATAATTTTAGGTGCCGATATTATTGCATTTTTCTTTTCTTTCTATAGCGGAAATAAAAAAAGTCAGAAACCGAGGCCAAGGGCAACGTCTTCTCTTCCCCTTTTGACATTATTATGTAGTAGTTTTACTAACTAACTGATAGTTCTTCGAGACGTTGATCCGGCAATCTGCTTGGTCTCTACTTCCTGCATTGTATAACACACCATCCCTTTACGTATTGAAAATTGTGACAGCTGAAATTGAAAGGTACAGTGGGGATCATAAAGAATTGCAAAAGCTATGAAAATGACATGCTGTCGCACATGTAATAAATTCTTACCTCAGTGTATTCAGTGCTCTATTTTCTCCGTCTGAGTAAGTCCAAATATAGTAGAATTTGTGTCCTTAATGACAAATAAGAACTTCAAAAGTTGAAGTGGATATTCACATGTTATGCCGACTCTTCAAATGTTGAGGTGATTTTGTCGCCCGATTGCGCCGGAACGGAGGATTGGCTCCCAGAATGCAACATGACACATGCCAGCTTTCAAAATGCTGTTCCGCCATTTTGAAACCTGTCATGAGTAAATACGGTAACTGATGTTGCATTCTGGGAGTCAACCGTCCTTGGATAACAAACATGGCGATTCATGAAAACATTCATTCGATTTGGTAGGGATTTATCCATTATTTGCAGGTATGAAGCTTTGGATTCATTTATTGTGCTACTTTAGTGAAAGGGAATTATTTTTCTACCGCTTGGGAGAGTTCGAGACACGAAACTTGGAAATTAGCTCATTGTGACAACTTGTGAACGTTGAGTTTTATTTTTGTCCCCCACTGTATCTTCCTAAATTCACTGGCTCGCTTTCTATCCTCAAATGTTCCACGCGACATGATAACCATCTTTGATCGGTTGTATCTCGGGGTTTCATCAATCTCTAAGCTATTTGACAGTTGGACAAAGGCACTTGAACGGATAGTTGTGCGTTTCCCAGGAAGAGAGTGGGAGGGGTCCATTTTCTTTTCAGACAACCAAGGAGGATTGATTCCCAGAGTTCCAAATTAATATTTTTCTTCTTCAAGCCAATCCTCCCTGCAGGGGCAACTTTATTATCTGTTACTTTGGTTGCGCCTTTGGATTTTTATCTGATTTACTTTTGATCAGAATGTTGTGACCTCTCTTCTAAGAGGCCCACATACTCCAATGAATGCATCCAACTTTTTCATGAAAGACTCTGTCAACTTGAGCAATAAAAATCATGAGGAAAATAAAAGATTTGAAAAAAATCATTGGGCGTTGATTGAGTGAATTCAATTAATTCACTTACAGCTATCGCTTAAGTCATTTCTGTGCACAACGCTGTTTTAGACATGTCTCCAGAATCTTTAAAGCTATAATTACGTTAGTGATAACCTTTTAGTGATGAGTTCAAAACCATAATGAACACTAAATCTGACCGAGAAGCCATTTGACACTCGCAGTGCATCTAGATATATATTTCCACCTTTTCTCCCCACACACACAAACATTCATTCATTTTTTTAAACATTAAGTTGTATTATATGAATATGAGACATATTTTCTCTGACTATGAAGGCCAGTCAGTAACAGAAAACAGTTACATTCTGACTCGGGTATCACCGTGGGTTTCAAAATGGCAGCCTGGAAAGAATGGAGAGGGAATGTTTTATCATTGAAATATGACACGCATATGTTGTTTTAACCCACAAAAACACATTCAGCAGATCGATAAATGCATGAGGAAAATATTGAGGTATGATTCTATGTTATTCTAGTCAGAGTTACTCCAGTTTTAAAGAGGAAAATCGTGAAGTACCCTATTATCTCCCATATATTAATTTTCAAAAATCCTCAGGGATTTTGTCATTTTAGATATCTCCTCCAGGAGAATTTGGGAGATGCACTTATTAGAGATAATACGGTAGTAGGAGAATCCATTTTCCTGATTTTCATACATTGGAATTTGTAGGAATATGAAATTTTGCTTGCAAATGGATCTAATTTTTCATTTATAAGTTATAACACTTATAACTCACATTAGAGGCTCTATTGATTTTTTGTTCTTTCATCAGAGGCTCAAAAAAGAAATATCAATAAACTTATTTAGTGTTGGGAAATTATCAAGTAGAATACAATTATGTATAAGTAATTGGTTTTATTCTGTTTTTCTATGTTATTGTTTATTTAGAATTCGTATAATTTTGTGATTCTTTAAAACTGTTTTAGAACTGAGAAGTCATTAAATATTCATATCAAAGAGTGTAAAAATCAATTTCAGTAAATGGCATCGATTTCATGATATATTCATTGATAATTCCTATATTTTAATAAGTTACAGAATGTGATAGTGAATGTGATAGCATACCTATGATCAGATGATGTATGGCGTAAACTGTTCACAAGACAGCAGGCCAATATAAGTTTTGAAAAGCCAGCGCCCGCTAACTTTCTGATTGGCGCTGAGACTATTACGCACATAACTCATATATAATGATATATAAGTACCTCTGAAATATTAAAGGGACTACAAAGGATAAAGATGGATTGAAAATAACTTTTGTGACAAAATTATCAATATTTTACAAAACAATTGCATTAGTACATCTTTTTGTGCCTTTTTCTAAAATACCAAAAGTTGTTTATTTATGCAGTATGCTTCGATTTCTAAGACTATAGTAAAACCTATCTTAGTGAACACCTCTCTCTAGCAGACACCCTTCCTCAGCACATACTCCACTGACTTCTGATGAATTACCCTCTCTGTAGTGAACACCTACCAACATTGAATTTTTCAGCAAAAATGTTCAATATACAGGTTTTACTGTATTTAAACACTCCCTTTTCAATTCATATGATTTTTGACATTTTTGTATCTATTTCTTTAAAAATTTCTATAATATGATCAGGTAAAACCTAAATTTCTATTATATTTATGCTTATGGAAAATATAGGGATATACATTATATAGGGATTTTATGTCAAGAGACAATTCATCTTGTTTTTTTAATATGAGAAATTTGGTCAAGGAAGGCAAAAATGCTTGAAGGAAATCATCATTGGTCCTCATATATCATAAATTATTCCATTTTCTTGCAGCAGTTAGAAAGTCAAGATATAATTACATGGAAAGAAAAATATTACTGAACCCTAGGTCAATTTAACATGTAATGTTTGACTTTTTAAAGAAATGTTGATATTTGAAGTTATTGTGTTAAACAAGAATGATAAGCAGCTGGCTTTTATCGATAATGTTGTTCCTTTTTTCTTTTGTTGTTTTTTTATTACCTTTTAATTTTTGTTCTATACCTGTAATAGATACTAAATAAATCTAGGTAGCATGCAACATATGGTCTGTCTTTTAAAAACTTTGTCATAATTGTATTTCTGGTGAATTCTAAATTCTAAAAGCAATGTAATTGATCAATGATATTCTAGAACCTATTGTTCTGTGTTTATAGGCATATCAACTGTTAGATATAGATTTTAGCACTTTTAGCACATTAGGACAGATGTAGGGATTTATTGCATTGTAGAATTATATGAGTAGTGACAAACGATTAGAAAATATATGTCTCACAGATTGCGAAATTTCTGTTCTTGACATTTATCTGAACATATTGAACTTTTGTCAAATCGTGGCTATGTCATTTTACTCTGAAGATATATTTAGTTTTCTTAAAAAACTAGTAGGGATTACTTGTGGATAATTTTAGAGTCTGTCTAGTGTTTTTTTACATATATGTTTGTTTTTTACATTGACATGTACATGTTATTGTAAAAACTTCTCACATTTGAATTACCCTGCGTGCAGTTAAGTTATAAACTACCTTCTGTCTATTATCGACTATACAGTTTAGCAGCCCCGCCCCCATGACCGCTGCCCATGATAGCTTGTGTTATAAATCATTTTACACTAACTGCACTGACCTGTTCTCAACCAATCAGCAAGCTGGAAGGAACAAGTGCTAAATGCGTGCACCATAATTATGCGATTATGTCAGAGAAAATGACCGTTTATAGACAGTCGTTCATTTGGTAAGATTTATTGAAAACTGAAGAATGAAGACGAAGCTCTCTTGAGAAGTGAAGTCGAACGAATGCAAAGGTTACATTTGAATCTGGAAAATGGAAATAAGAAATGTTACAACTGAAAGAGAAAATGTTATTTAAACATATACTTAGAGAGTTTATCTTAGATGCAAATATTGAATCAATTTGAATAGGTATTTGAAGAACTTGGTAAGACCTGTGTACTTGTAATCTTGTCAGTATTTTCCTGGTGTTCAAGTAGGTACAAAGTTCTCATTTTCACCAAAATAAGAATAAAAATTATTTGCAGATGATAATAAGATCTTAAGACATGTTATTGTCTTGTTTGTGTTTTTGTTATTTTATTAAGCAGACTATTCCAAAGAAATAGCTTTATAGGTACATATAAAAATTTAGATAAAATATTTCTCCTTTATCATATTGTAGAGATGTATAGATATACTTACATGGGTGAAATATGAAACATTGGTGATGAAACACAAATGCAACAGCGACTGGATGCGCAACAAAACAAAAATGTAATTGATTTTCAGATTATGATAATTGAAAAAATAACATATCAATAACAAAATAAACCAATAAAGGCAAAAATAACAATTTCATTTCCTAAAACAATAACATTTGATCTGCAGCTTTGTTTGTGAAATCTGTGCTAGAAAAATAGTAAACTTGAATAATAAGACCAACTTTAGATTCCTAATACATGCGATAAATCATCATATTCCTCAATTTTGTTACCCTTACTACATTCCAACTAGGATATCACTCTTATGGTCTGTTTGGT